GATATTTTAAGCCCTGCACTTCTACTGGGTGTCTGTATTAAGTGGGTTTTAGATTTGCCTAGACATTAGTGATATAGTATCAATAATTACTATATTTAGGCACATGGTTTTTGTCAAAGAGGAGCCGAGTGCCATCTGTCCCATGATATTGACCACATTCTGGACAAGGGGGAGAAATCTCAATCTTCCAAAAGAAAACGAAAGAACAGGAAAAGAAAAGCACCACCTACAGGTACCTTTTACTGCAGTTTTCTATGTTCTGCAAACTCAGACATTTCAATGACTTGTTGTGAAATTGGTTTTTAGGGACCATTAATTTTTTAGGGGCATGGGGAGGGGGGTGGGGGGCTGGTTAGTTGCCTTCCCCCTCCCCCCCCCCCCCCCCCCCTCCCCCCCCCCCCCCCCCCCCCCCCCCCCCCATTAAATTCCACCAGCACCCCTAACTGCCACCAGTCAAGAACATAAAGGGTACAGGCTGATTATTTTTGAATGACAGCAGTAAAAAGTCAAATCTCAGCATGCAGCTTGCAACTACCAAGGGGGGAGGGAAGGGGCAACATTTGCCTTACACATGGGAGGGGGGTAGGGATACTATTATCCAACTTATTGAAATAAGTACTATAATATTTCATCTTAAGTTTTAAATTGAATTGTATTTTTTAGATTTACTTAAAATCAATAACTAAATACATATTGGGTTTCCTGTGGTTTTTGAAATTCTGTTATGGGCTGCCTGTGTCCTTTTCCACAGGAAGCCCAAGATTAATTACTCCATACTGAAATGCTATATAATTTATCTGTAGGTGAAGAAGTCAGTAACTCTAAAAGTAAAGAAAGTTCAGAACAGGAAGCGAACAGCAATTTAACAGAGAATTTTGAAAATACAGTAAGTACAGGTACGATAGAAAATTCTCTTGGTAACGAGCCATGTACTAGTTGCRAAAGTCCTATTAATCTTAATAACAATTCAAATAAGAATGCTGCAGCCRTTGGCAGTGGACATAGAGCTGGCATTGATGCATTTATGACAGGTTATTGTCTGGCGACATACCTGGTCAAGCKTGGTGTCAAGGGCGTAGCTCATTGTGGCTGGGGAAATAAGATTAGTTTAAGTGGTAAGGAGGTGCCACTGACAATATCACAAAGCCATTTCTCTAAGCCGTCAATAACTCATTCTCAAAAAATGAAACTATTAAGACAATATGYTTGTGAATAGTAAATGAATGAAACATAAGGGGAATTTTTTCCCCAGCTGAGCTTTGAAAATAGTGTTTTTGTAGGCCTAGGGTAATGTTTCCTGCTGCATTATAACTCGCATATATGGCTCCGAGACTCGTACTGGCACGCCTCGAGTACTAACTTACACTAGTAGAGAATAGGAAGACGTTCTTCCACCRTGATCATTAATGTGTTGGTATGAGATGCGATCTTTAATCCTTATGTGAGCATTACATAATCAACTGATTACTACACCCCAAAATCCCAATTTCCTAAACCTTCAACATGCATCATGTCAGCCTCTTCATGTGTATTCAGACTTTTTWTGAATACTGTAAAATAAAATCTGGTAACCCAATTTTTTATTTCTTTTATGCCTATTCTACACTAAGAAAAATGGCGAAAGCTGTAGAACGCCTAACTTTGGGGTCAGTCCTCCTTTGTGGCAAGGGGTGGGGTGGGGGGCCTATAATAGATTATTGTTATATTATGGAACCACATACAGTAACTCTAAAACCATGACAGCATWGTACATTTTATTTTTTATTTACTACATCCGGCTTTGACATAAATCAGAAGCTATGTTATAAACCAAAGCCTTATTAAGTACTCAGACAGTCAGCCGGATTTTTTTGGAATTTCCAAGCAAAGCTAAATGTTTTTAGAACCAAGAAAATAATGCACTAGAAAAATGCTTCAAATGATATCGGCATCTTCTATGGTCTGTCTATCTGTGGACWACAATAAGAATCACTACATAGAAATATACGGCAGCATATCATTAGTGCCAACATTCCTGACTAATCAAATTTGCAACGGTTGCACTGAAGCTGATTTTAYGAATGTGCTCAAGTTTATGGGACTACTGAGTCATATATATGAGGTTAGCAATGTGACAACATCATGGAAAGTTATGGAGATATTCAGTGTAGTGGTAATACTCCATTTTACAGTTCCATTCARTGACCACGAAYAATAGTTCCCAGCCGAGGCTGGAGTTACKGCGCATGATAAACTGTAGTTTTGCTATGCGCGGAAATTCCAGCCTCGGCTTGGAACTATTATTCGTGGTCAYTGAATGGAACTATAAAAAGGAGTATTGACAAAGCCATTTTAAACCCTTCTTTTATTTGTGTTTAGATCTGATGTATATACCCATAATTTATTTTGGTCTCAGAATGATATATCAGCTATCCCCTTTACATTACTTTATCCTGTGGCTGCCACAAYCTTTTTTGAAATTGGCATACTATTTAACAATTATTCACTGAAGGCGAAGTGAATATCAGGGAATATTTACCGAGACGTGAGTCTTCTAGCGGCGAGGTAAATATTCTCCAATATTCACTGAGGCTGAGGCAAATAATTGTTTTAGTATAAATACACAGGTGATTCTTTCAAAAAAAGATAGAAAAGAAAGAAGATAAAAGGCATTTTTCCCTGGTAACAGCAACAAAGCGGCTGGCCGGCATTTTGGATTATCGCTGGAGGTGATTATCGTGTGATAGTGTGAGTTCCTCGACCAATCAGCGCACGTGATTTTCAATAATCACCTGTGTATTTTTACTAATATACTTTTAATGTATTACTTCACAAGTCAATCAGAGTAATAATTGCTACACAGTATTTATGAACTTCAACATCTACAATAGGACTACATTATGTAAGAATCTTAATATATACATTTYTCTTTACTTCTAGTATTATGATCATAGTAGGAAATAGGTTCTAGTCATGATAGAATGTTTGATCATTTTCWCCCCTCGTAAAATTTCWATCCCCCTCCATGGGRGAAGTATGGTATTTTCTAGAACTACACAWTATACCCTYCTTAGACCCTCCCCACCCTTAGGAAATCACAATCCCCCTCTATGGGGGAGGTATGGATATTWTCTAGATCTGCAATCGTATAAGTCTCTCGATACATTATTTGTACTGATTATTTTTGACTAGTTTTTTTTTTTTAATCTATAAAATCACTTTCATTTTGTTATATTTCTAATGACTTCAAAATCACAAAAATCAGCTCATCCTTTCTTCTCGATCTAACTAAACTTTGATCTAAAAAATACCTCAGAGATTTCATAATGAATAATTAAGCTTGATCATAAATATTATGTATTGATAATAATAAATATTAATCATCTGGGATTTATATGATGGACACACTGTATCGAAAGTAACTCTTAAACAACTAAACAATTTGAATTTAAAAAGCTGTAATACCATCTAAGTCTAACTACGAAGCAGTTGTGTTAAATGTTTGATTTTTTTTAAGAGTAAGGGTCACATGACCCATTATTGCATGTCGTCAATAAATTAGGGAGGTTCTTTTAATAATATCCCAATAATACTTTATTTTTCACCTTTGACATCAAATTTATCAATTTTTCAATATTATAAATTTTCACATCAAATTGATTATTTTTCAGTTTTATGACAAAAATTTCAAAAGGATAAATTTAACGCCAAACACAGAAAATAAGGCATAGTGGGATTTATTTAAAGGGTCTAGATTGAAACAAGGGTAGTGTAGAGGTAGGGCACTTGTTGTCAAGTGYGATTTCCAAAATTGATATCACATGTAGGGCAAAATTTCAACACCACAAACATCAAAGAAAGCAATATTTTGTAAAAAAGACGAAAATGTTCAATTGCATAAAAAAAACTCCTTAACTAAATATTCTATTATCTTAACAAACTTGTATGTCTTTGGAACTCAAACTCGCTTTTAATTTTTTAAATTCTTTTAAAATAGAATTGCAAGAATTCAGTAATAATAATAAAAAACATCTCGCTAATTATATTTGCTGCAAGATRATATGTATGAATATAACACTATGCGACAAAATAAAAATATATTTGTCATTAATTTTCAAAATTTGGAAAAACTCTTCCAACTATTTTTCTTAATTATATATTAATATTCTAGTTTTTAACTTATTGATAACAGCAAACTTTAACGACAACTTTGACTGTTTTAAACCTTAACACTTAATTTTAATATTAACTCACTGATCCAGGCGGCGATGCTATATTGTCAATCAATTTCCATTTGTGTGTCCATGACAACAGAATAGTTATGCATCTCTATTTTGGATTATGAGTCCTCTCTTCATAAGTCTMTTTCTTGGTACGACAGGAGTATGTTCCTAAGAGGAGCTGACTGATTTGTTATTGTCACCATCTTAGGTTACTTTGTTACTAGAAGAGTAAAGCTAAGTAGGCACGTCCACCATGTAACATAGTGTATGTTTGATGAATTAGATCTTGCACCTGTTGAGGGGTACCCACCTGTAGGGTGAATTTCAAAAAATACTATTTTACTATCCATTTTTCAACTAAAGATATTATGAAGCTGCTGCTGATAAGGAGGAGGAAGATAACAACAAGTGACGCCAATGGTGATGATAATATGATGGATGATTAAATGATACTAATGATGATGATACATGGTGTTGATTAATGATAGAGCATGATATAGTACTGTAATGATGGTAATGATACATTGTGATGATCATGCATGATGATAAATGATGATTGTAATGATGATAAATTATCRGGTATGGTAATGGTAAGATTTTCATGTTTACATGGTGATGTTGATGATAGTGGTGGTGATGGCGATGACGTTACTTTTGATGAAGGTGCTGATGATAATGGAGATGGTGGCAGTTATGTTGATTAATGATACTTAGGACCCGTCTACACATATCAGGAAATTTTTGTATCCACAAAAAATAATTTGCGGATACGAAAATGTTTTCACCATCCACACATATCCGTTTTCTCAAAACTTCCGGATACAGACACAAAAATTTCCGGATATGTGTGGACAGGGCCTTAGTGTGCTCATATGACAAGATAAAATTAATACAGTACACCTTCAATAACAGTCAAACCAATAGAATGTTGCCGAGTGCTGGATGGCAAAACAAAACAGTTCTTACCACGAAGTTTTATTTCCACCACGTTTGAGTATTTYCCTTCGTCCACCTTGTTTCTGGCCAACACTCTCACATCATAAMGTTTACCTTCTTTAAGTTTAAATCTGTCATACATTGTCTTTTTCGTCAAGACCCTTGTTGCTTTTTTCCAGTCGATGCCACGGGGTTTATACTCTACAATGTATTCTGTAACTTTAGCACCACCATTATTTTTGGGAGCCTGCCAATAGACCTTGTRGAAGGACTCTCCTCTTTCTTTGTCAAAGATATATTGCTGTTGTAGATTTAATGGTGACCCTGGTCCATCTGGGGGAGTGCAGTTAAAAGCATGAATTGGTAATACTTCAGCAATGAAACATCCAAGCATTAAAGCATGACACATGAAAGTATGACCACTTTAAAAAATATTTGCATTCTTCTATGCACAGKCTTTTTGCCTCCAAAAGAACTTTACACGACTCATTTGGTAAAACAAGCCRGCTTCGCATCAGAATGTATCAGTTTAACATGCAAAAACCTGTGCATTAAAGTATTACTAATGCAAATACAGTGTGRTTGGTGTGCAGTGCTAATGGCCACCTCTCATCAATGTAACCCAGGTTTGTTTCCCAGACTCAGTGTTGTATGTGAGTAGAGTTGTTTGTTGSTTCTCTCTTGTGCTTCGAGGGTTTTTCTCCAGGTTCTACGGTTTTCCTCCTCCCTCAAAAAAATTTCAATTTRATCTATTGGTAGTGGTATCAATCCTATTAGTAAGATATTTTTAGATCTTTACTTACATAATCTTTTCACCACTAAATTATGCATCTTTGTTGTCCTTTTAGTCTTGGCAACACAAGTATAAGTTGTAAAATGATAATCTGAAGATGTTATAATGGTTAATACACTCTCTGTTCGGGTATCAATGTGCATGCCACGGCTYAAAGTCTGGTTATTGGGCTGTCGCAGCCATGTAAAAGTGACGGGTTCATCCTTGACCACCCTGACCATGCAAACTAGAGATATCTTCAGGTTTTTCCATGACTCTCTTTGTGATCTACTTGTAGAAGCCTCCTCATCAATCTGCAAATCTGTAAGGAATCATTTTTCATTAATTATTGACTTTCTACACACCAAATCAAATTATGGTGACCAATTTGAATAATTATAGTTCAGCACTGACTAGCTACTGACTAGCCTCTCATACATGTGAAAATGCTTTGAATTTATGCTTTGACTAGCTACTGACTAGCCTCTCATACATGTGAAAATGCTTTGAATTTATTTTCCAACTTCAACACAATGCTATTCAGTCACTAGTCAGTGTAGAACAATTATAATCATTTTAATTTARAGAATTTATGGTTTACAGCTGAATGCTTGGAAACATTTCCTAGGGAAGCTAATGGAAAAGAATTACTCAGGGGCCATTTTATTGGTTTTACATAAGAAGGAAACTAAGRAGGTCTACAAATTCTTTATTACCACCAACAGTGAGCATGACAACATTGTATATCCATTCAATATTCACAACATTGTAGATTATTTTAGATTTYCTAAGACTCTGAAGTTGGGCTGTTATAAACATCCTGCCAAAAACCTATGAAGTATTGCTAATGAAGATAAATGCCTTTACCAATACAGTGCTAATATCTTCATAAGAGTCCTAGACATGGTGGCTATGTCTTTAATGAAAAATTTTGATTGAAAAATGAGAAGAAACACAATCAYTGTTTTCTCCTTTTAAAACATTTCTTATGACAAGAAGATGGAATATTTACGTATACTCAAAAGACCCTTTCTTAATCTTGTTTACGCTAGCACTTTCTTTAATATTCACTAAAAGCACAATTTATTTTCTTAAAGAATGAATTAATATTATAATTTAATATATTTTTCTTGATTAAAAATAAGGTTCAAAACGATTAATTAAAAAATTAAACCAAAAATATTAAAACTGAATATTGATGTTTATTGCTGAAATGATATTTTTGAATTGTAAAATTCTTTTCAAATTCAATTCAGGTTTGATTTTGATTCTTTAAATTTTTCTCCTGTTAAGAGCTTAACATAGAATATAATATGTGTAGGCGTTATTAAAAAGATTTTTAATGTGCATCTTATCTTTCTTCAATTTCATACTTTTTAACCTACATTTCCAATATATTGAAAACATAAAACAAAATTTCTGAAGAMCTTTTAATGTTAAGTATTTACAATATCAGATCCTTAAGCTATCTAAATTTATTTATGTTTTTTAAATATTTTATTCAATTTTAGTTWTCTAGAAAGTATATGTATTTTATATTTGCATTAATTTACATCCTGTGTCCCAAAATAAACCCTATTTCTATAGAATTCCAGAGATATTGCATAACATGAATAGGCAATTATCTTGAATAGATTTTAATTGATGTTTTAAATAATTCAC